TGCCTGAAATAATTCCTTCGCCTGTATTACATAAAAATGCTTTGTTGACAATAGAAAAAATCAAATTATATTTTGAACAACAAACAGACAAGTCACAATGAATTGAGATTAATAAAGATAAGTCATTTAATTCAAAAGAACAATTAAAAATTGATAATTGTATGAATTTTCTATTTTTATTTTATGAATGAATGTGAAACTTAATGACTCGTAGCCAATAAATTATTCATAAGATTCTCACGTGACCATAAATGAGACGATCGACAATTCTTATAGTGAACGCTCTCTATAATGAACCAAAATTCTCGGCCCAGGGAATTCGTTATAGAGAGCTATGACTGTAAAAAAGAAAACCTTGCTCCTTATGGAAATCATTATAGAAAAAAATGACCCCATTATAACTTATACAATTTTTATTCCTCAGAACTTGAGTTTTAAGTTTAATTAAAGCTAATGTAAAGATATAATTATACCTGAAATATGTATGTAAAAATTTTAATTCTTGATAAATATATATAATTAATTAATCCTCATTTAAATTGATATTTTGTTCTTCATGATAAATTTTAAAACAGTTTCTACTATATTATAACATAATGGAGCATCACATAATGTACATCAAATATTAGAGAAAAAAGGTCTTTTATCTTCACCTATTAATAATACAATGATCAGTAAAGTAATTTTTTTTGTTCCCTTACTTTGCACAATCATTTATCACTAAGAACAATAATTAACACTTTGATATAATCTTTAAAATCTTTTTTAATTAAGAAATTATGTGTAAAACTGCATGATGAAAATCTTTGTGTCTTGCAGAAACAGTTTAAAGGATAAATAGAATCACTTTTAAATCAAATTTTTATATTGGGACTCTTCCAATTACAGAGTTTGTTTTGCTCTAATTTACTCAAATTATTATTCAATGAATAGGTTTTTATTAATAACCGGAATAACCACTGCATTAATTCATATAGAAAATATTCCATTTGATAGGTTAAGGCAGGACTTTTATTGAATATATGGGAGTTGGACTAGGAAAATTTTTTCTAAAAATAGATTTGATATGATTTTACTAATAAAATCATGTGTAACAAATGCTGAGGGGTCGATTTTCCTAGACGAAATACTTTCACAAACTGAAATATTGAATTTTAAAACATCAATAATCATCAATGGCAAAAAATGGAATTATTCTAGTATAATAAATTAAAGTATATTTGGTTATTAATAAAAATAGAATTATACCTGAAACCATCAATGATTTATTGTTAACAAAAATGGAATTATTTTAATATAATGAATTAATTACTATTAATTAAATTTTGATTGACAAATTTATGAGACTGGTTTTCGTGCAAGTAAAAGTTACACACCAACTTTTTATTAAAAAATAAACAATTGAATTTTTTTTTAATTTAAACTAGTTATTATTATATAAACAAACAAATACAGATCATTCTATTACGAGGCAATGATTCTCCAGATAGACAAGAATTCAAATAGGAAAAATAATAAGTAAAAGTTACATGCCAACTTTTTGTTCGTTTTATAATATATTAATTGAATATTGAACTGTGCCTTTTTAAAGGGCCAAGGAAATCCTCATTAATATAAAAAAATAGTGATAGTAATCGAGTATGAAAATCGTAATAAAATAAGTCGAACCTTGTTATTAATATCAACGATGATGAAATAATAATAATAATAATATAACTGATATGATGCTATAAATAAGGTTAATTTTCCTTTACGAATTAACTTTTTTCTTTAATACACGAAAAACTTCGAGTTCATTATAATCATTCTAAACCATCGTTATCTTGTTATCATTATTAATCATTTTTCACAGAACCAAAAATTAAAAAATGAAAATGATGATACAAGAAATTTCAGATTCTCCTAAAATAAATACTTTACCTTCCCCAATTACAAATGCATTCGAATTATTTAAAAATGCTTGTAATGTGACTTTGGATTTTGAGAATAAATACTTTGAAAACAAAATTGAATTGATTCAAAATTGTAGAGAGGACTTCCATTTAATTGCTAATGACACAATTCAACGATCTTACGAATTGGCTAAATTTAGAGGATGTATAATGGACCTTATTAAATATCATGGTGACAAGAATGTCCCCGATAAAGATATATTAGATTATTTGAATAAACTTTTAGGTGTTGCTAATGCTAATAAATCCGCAATAAAAAAAACCAACTTCGAAATTATAACTCTCAAAGATGAGATGATAAATATTCGTAATGAATTAGCAGAATTTGATTTTGAAAATGCGAAAAATATTGATCCTACAACATATAACAACTTAAATGATGCTGGATCTAAAAAAAAGTTTTTAGATGAAATTATAAATGAAATTTGTCCGAACATGTCTGCAACAGGGAAAGAATTAACAGGAAAAGCAGTAGAAAAAGCAGTAGAATTAGCAGCAGGAGCAGTAATAACAAAAGTATCAGGAGCAGGAGCAGTAACAGCAAAATTAGTAGGAACAGCAGGAGCAGCAAAAGTATTAGTAGTAGGAACAGCAAAAGTAATAGTAGTAGTAGGAGTAGGAACAGCAGGAGCAGCAGTAGCAGTAGTAGCAACATTAGCAACTACTTTTTTCATTGCTAAAAAACAAAAAAAAAAAAAAGAAGCTATCAAATTACAGGAAATTTTAAGTACAAGACAAGGACAAATGATCAAAAAATCAAAAATTTTACAAAAAAATGTTTTCTCAGTAAGTCAATGTTTAAATGATCTTAAAGAATTCTGGGAGTCTCAGATTGCACAATTAGAAAGTCTTATCACGGAATTTAAAAGTTTAAATAGTTCAAATGAACAGAGAATTATTAAACTCTTGGAAAAACAATGGAAGAAAACAATCAAAGAATGTAAAGGGTATTCTAACATTACAGAAAAGGAATTAGAGGATGATATGAATGATATGAATAGGGATGGGAAATTGCATGGAATTTCAAAATTTCATGCGCATTACATGCTGTGCATTTTTTTTCTTTTTTTTTAAATTTTTTTTTCTCAACATCATATTCAATTCAACATTACTACTTTTAACATTTTTAATGCATGATTTGAAAAAAAATTATGCGCATAGGACATCTCTAGATATGAAGTATCAATAATAACCAATTGTATGTGTCACTTTTAAAAAATTTGTTTTATCTATTTCTTTCGCTTATTATGTTGTTTATGTGACATCTCTCAGAAAATTTATTTATAAATTTAAAAGATATATTTTAGGTTTTAAATCTTATTATAATACTTTGTTGTTGCATTATCATTTAATAAATATTAATATTAATGTTGTGAAATCGAAATTATGTGAAATTGAAGATGTTTAGATACAGTGCGGATCATCTATACTCAAAAGTCAAAATTTTTGAAATATTATGTGATCCACACATTGGATTTTTAAAAAACCCGCCGCCATTCAATTCAGCTTTAAAAAGGGAGTCTATTAATCTAAAAAAAAAATTTTGTCTCAAATTTTCTTTTCATAGATTTTTTAAATTTGAAAGTTATGCTCAGAAGTGCAACAATAATTTTCGTGTT